TGTGACAGTTCAACTGGATTAGATCAGTCACATGTTAATTGTAGAGCTGCAATTCATAGAATGACGAAGGAGCTGAAACTGTTAGATGTTTGGAGAGAGAAAACCCCAGCTAATAAAACATACTCCTGTTGCTCAAGTACTTTCAAAACTCACTCCAGACTAGATTACTTCTTAATTTTCTACAGAGTTGCAGTTTAGAATTCTAGATTGTCTATGATAATATTGTAATTTCAGATCATGCTCCATGCTGTCTGATCTACAAAGATGATAAATTAAAGAGAGACACTCCGAGATGGCAATTTCAACATAAATGGTTGCAAGACAAAAAATTTGTGGAATATCTAGAAAAACAGATCGATGAATTTTTCCGAACTTATACTACAGAAACAACAGCGAGTATAAAATGGGAGGCGTTTAAGGTAAAGGGTCTAAAACAAAACAAACTGAAGGATATAGAATACAATTGGAAAATAAAATAAAGGTAATTCAAGCTAAAGTAAACAAAGAAAATGACCCACAACTAGGAAAGGAATTATTGATTTTGAGAGCAGAATATGACAAGTATTCAGCCTCCAGAGCAGCAGCAAGTCTTTTATGACTCAGACAAACATTTTATGAACAGGTTAACAAAGCAGGCAAATTACTGGCATGACAAATAAAACAGTTGGAAACAAAACAATCAATAACCTCTATTATATCAAATGATCTAATCTTACAGGATCCCCAAGAAATTAATGTAGCCTTTAAGAACTATTATGAAGAATTGTATAAAACCCAAATAAACATGAAATTAGAAAATATAAATTAATTTTTAAAAAACTTAAATATACCTAAATTCTCTAATGAAGATAAGGACAACTTAAATCAAGAAATTACAACAGAAGAAATTGTCAGGATCCGGGGCTTTGCACACTAGAGGGCGACGTGGATCTAGTGGGCGGACCTGTTGCAGAGCAGCGGGAGCGGGGCTTCCTGCTGAAGCGGAGGTGACGCCCTCCTCCAAGGCCCCTGCAGCTTCTGAGACTCTGCTCTGCTGCCGTTTCATGGCCCGCCACCTGAGACTCTTCTTGGCATCCCTGGTTCGCCCTTCGCCCTCCATGGGCGAGTTGTTTTTTTTTTTTTTTTTGGGGCGTCTGGAATCCGCCCTTGGGGGGGGGGTACTGTCAGGATCCGGGGCTTTGCCCACCAGAGGGCGCCGTGGATCCAAGCCTGGGGAGCTTGGACTCAGCATGATCAGCTGTTTTCTATCTGCTGATTAAGGAAGCTCCCTATATAAGCTGAGTGTGAACTTCCCTCTGTGCTGGATCGTTGTGTTTCTTGTGCCACCATGCCTGTCTGTGCTTAGAACCTGCAAGTTTCCTGAGAGTTCCAATAAATATTGGACTTTTAATCCTCCCTCCGTGTCTGTGAGTCTGCATTTGGGCTAGTAAAACCATCGCAACATGACAGAAATAGGACAAGCCATTGACAAAATGAAATTAGGGAAAAGAGCAGGTCCAGACGGTATTCCAGTAGATATATATAAGACCTTCAAAAACAAGCTTTTGTCCCCATTATTAGATATGTTTAAAGAAATTTTCCACTCAAACTATTTCCCCCCCTCTATAAATGCTGCCATGATAATCCTATTGCCAAAGCCAGGTAGAGCTCCAAATAAATGTGAGCATTTCAGGCCGATTAGTTTATTGAATTCAGACTTAAAGATAATCTCCAAATTGTTAGCACAATGATTACAAAACGTTCTACCAAAGACAATTGGTCGAGATCAAAATGGATTTATTTTGGGTAGGCAAGGCTTTCATAACATGAGGTGAGTACTAAATATAATTCATTATAATAAAGGCACTTCAGACTCAGCTCTCTTATCGTTAGATGCCGAAAAAGGCGTTCGATAGGGTTCACTGGGAATATCTCTTCGAAGTTATGGAAAATTGTACTTGTTGAAACAACTTTGTAAAATGGGTCAAAATATTATACAGTAATCCCTCAGCTGAAATCTTAACTAACAGAAACACATCTAAGCCAATAAAGATTAATAGAGGCTGCAGACAGGGCTGCCCATTGTCACCTTTATTATTCACTTTGACAATAGAGCCTTTTGGTATTGCCATTTGCTCACACCCTCACCTCACTGGAATTACAGTTGAATCTATAGAGCATAGGATCTCCTTGTTCGCAGATGATGTTATCTTGTTCATATCAAAATTAAATACAAATTATCATGGAAATAATTAAATCATTTAGTAAGATTTCTGGATACAAAATAAACAAAAACAAATCCTCTATTCTTTTAATGAATGTAAATGAAAGAATCAACCCATCTTCAGATGTCTTGCAGTTTAAAATAGTTAACGATTTTAAATATTTAGGGGTAAACATTTTCTCAGATCTTGATCAGGTTGTTGCGACCAACTATAAACATATATTGAACGAAGTAGATAGTTCATTTGAAAAATGGATGCCACTACCAGTATCTATGATTGGAAGAATAAATATAATAAAAATGAATATATTGCCAAAGGTACTCTATGTATTTCAGAATGTTGCTCTTCCGCCCCCTCCTGAATTCTTCTCACAAATTAAGAAAAAGATTTTACCTTTCTTATGGAACAAGAAGAAGTCCAGACTCCGTTTTTCTCTACTGTATCTCCCTTATGACCGAGGAGGCCTGAAGTGCCCGAATTTTCACTTTTATTAATATGCTGGGCAGTTGAGGTCTATGATGTTCTATTACAGTAATCATTCTCCACATTGGATTGATATGGAAACTCAAGATATAAATTTAACTCTCCCTTCATATCTGTATTCAAATTCAATATCAAAGCTTCCTAAATATACTAAATATAGAAAGAAAGTTAAGAAAGGACATTTTGAAGAAAGGTATCATAACAGAGTTTTATAACTTAATGATGTTACAAATTTTAGAAGGATCTCATGATTGACTTAAGGCTTGGAAAGAAGATTTATCGATTCTGTTAACAGAGGAAGATTGGCAGACAGCATTAAATTGGCCCACACCAGCTCTATTAACACATCTCTAAAAATGATTCAATATAAATGGCTAATGCAAATTTACATAACACCAGCAGACCTCAATTGGTATAACAGGGAGATACCTGATGTGCGGTATGTCCAAAATGCACAGGGGATAGAGGGACTCTGGTTCATTGTATGTGGCATTGCAGAGAAATTATACAGTTTTGGAAAGAAGTACAAGGTGCTGTAGAAAACATAATTTCTAAACGGATAATTTTTGAGCCAAGGTGGCTTCAGATGTTATCTGTCCTCCCTCTGGAAATAATCATGTATATATTAAAGGACAAACAGGGCCTGTTTGAATCTATTTGGAACTCATTCAATAATTATGTAAAGACTCTGAATATCTAAAAAAAAAAAGTGCAAGTGATTGAAGAACAAGTGAACCGCAGTTCCCAAAGACAATTTATTGGAGGACAAATACTGTCAAATTTAATTCTCATTATAAGAGGCTAAGCATGAAATGTGATCTGTTGCATGGGAGTAAATGTTGTCTGTATTTTATTTTGACTTGAACAGTAACGTAAATATTGCTGTGATAACATTCTGTATATTGTTGAAGATGTTTGTTTAAATTGCTAAAATTTGAATAAATATATTTTGGAAAAAAAAAAATGTTTATCCTGGAGCAAATGTTACATAGCAGCATGAGGTGATGGACGAGCAGTGAACGCTCTCACCGCGGGCTGCTTCACCACCCTTCACTGCACGGTTTAGGTTTTGTTACATTGATGAAATTATAGAAACACAATAAAGAACTCTTTTTATGGTGGATGTCTTTCTGTTGGGAGGAGTTGATTCATGAGGAACCAAGCAGGAACTGACATCCATAAGAGCTGCGCTCTCTAAACCCTGAAATCCCACATCCTCTGTCACCATCATTCCTTGGTGTTGTTTATATTTTTAGGATTTGGGGAAAAAATGGAAGAAAGTTCACATCCCTGCACCAGAGCGCTACCTGTTAGATCTGTGGACGGTTTTCCAGCCTTGCAACCCAAACTAGCAACAGTAGTGGAGTTTGAAGATGCAATCTACTTCTTAAATCTTTCTTTGCGCTCCTCTAATTTATCCAGAATTTCTGCATCACACTTTTTTTCTCATTCCCAAATTGGTGATCAGCTGCATATTAAGCATGCATTCCCTGGAAATGCCTTTCCAATTTTTTTGTTTTGACAACCTCTCATTACAAAGCAAAAATGCAGACAATCCTTCCGCATTGATAATTAAAGCAAATGATTCTGTTCATTCTTTGAATCCTCTTTTCTTATCAGCTATCTTCCTTTTGGGTTCCATGGTCCGAGACACACCTGCAGCTTTGTTTGCCTGGTACTGCGCCACACTGGTTGCAAGTTATGACCACTGATCTCTATGGTTATGATGCAAATAATTATTTAAATTTATTTATGAAACTTTACAGCATAAGAAAACATAATAAATTTTTGTTTGACCTCCTGCACACCATATAAAAATAAAAATAAATCGATTTTCAGATATTTTTGAAAAAGCTCCAGGGAGCCGCATGAGGCTGCGGAGCCGCAGATTACCGACCCCCCGTGTTAGGAAGTCATCTTCATTATGTATGTGGCAAAGATAAATAGAAATGGAATGAGATAGAAAATGGAATAAGAATCCTTGATCTAAGAACAAATTGCAATATTTTGATAAAGCTGGAGCTATGCATGTTTCCACATCTGCAAACATGAGTGATGTAATGATGTGATGATGTGGCATACTGAAGTTGTAAAAAAATGCTTCTATAGCTGTGTATTCGGTGACCTTTTTTGTGCAATGTTATCAGGGTTAGATTAGTTTTACCCTTATGAAAAGATTTGAAAATAAATTAAATATTGTTACTAGAATTATAATATTATTGACTTCTGTAGATTACGTGTTGTTAAATTGAAACTAACTACAAAACTAAAAAAGTGCTTTTTGATTTTCTTTTTAAACATTTCTGTTTTTAGTCCATCAAGAAGATCATCCATCCAGATGTGGAAGATGTTTACTTGTTTTTGAGTCAACATGCAGTAAAAGATCTCGATCAGCTAACTCAAGCCCTGGCAAAAGGAGCGGATGATGCTGTAACCACTGCTCACTTGATTCTCAAATCCCTTCAAGTACCAGTGCAGGCCAGTCACTGTAAGCAGTACATCAGAGACCACATATAGTGAACCATTTTAAAACATTATATATGCTATTTACTACCTTTTATTTGAGTAATTTACATTAAATATATTTGTGCCCCATTTTAATTCATACTGTAGATCTCTTTTTTTTTCTCATCTAAATGTTTCTCGTCATCATCAGACTATTTCTAATACCACAAAGATAACCAGAATAGATATATATTTAGCTATTGAAGTCAAAAATAAAATCCCAATGTACTTTGTTCTGTGTGAAAAAGAAATCCAACCAAAGTACTGAGTTAATTGCGATTAGAGATGCTTTCAGATGGCTTTAAACTGATTATGCTCCAAAAATATAAAGTTGGGCTAATTTAACCCCAATGTGCTTATTGCCCGTTATTGCCAATATATGATGTACCCGGTAAGCTATTACCACCAGAGTTGGCAAGGTAATTTGATATATTTAGGAGTGATTTATCTTTGTACACAGTGCAAGGTAGGTTTGGATTGCTTTTTTTTTTTTATTAATATACCAAACCATCATTAGACAGATACTTTTTTGTATTTGATCAAGTTATATACAGTATTAAAAATGGTTTAATGATCGGAAACATTTTGACTTTTCTCTTCCTATAAACATATTTTATATATATACATATTTTTACATATATATTTGGAAGAAATATATAATAAAAGACTTTTTAAAAAGGCTATCTCTTTCATGTTATTTAGATAATATTGACGCCAATCTATCCACAAAAGAATCCAGAAACACCTGGGAGACAGCTGTGGCCACAGACATTATGTCAACTACACTAAAGGTAATATTTTCCCGTCTCAATAATACACTGAAGTAAATATCAGTTTGTTAACTTTGATGTCAAAAAGAACACCAGACTCATTGGTTATCATAAAAAAAATGTGTACCATTGATTTCACTCAAAGATTTATTACACAAGTCAAAGGCAGCAGCACAGCTGATACCTCCCTCTGATAAGCTGCATTCACACTGAAGGCTTTAAGGGTGTCAAAATCAGCAGGTTTACAAGCAAAGTCTATGGGGGACAGCACTGAGGGGTCCAGCAATGCATTTGAAAGTCGAGAGTGACGTATTTTTAATGTTCTGCCATTAGAGAATTCAGGCGTTGGAGTGTCTAACGCTGGAGCTCAGTAAATTGAACCATTGCTGCTGGAAAAGCTGATCCAGGAGTTTTCTGGGGCAGACAGACACTACCTGCAAGCTGTCGTCGCTGTCATCGTTTATTTGAACTTTTAAAAAAAGAAAATCAGCTTTTCTTATACTGTTATTTTTTTTGGATGTAAAAACGGCCAGACATGATTGAAGTTTCTGGGATGATGAGAGAAGAAGCCTCTATAGCTAAAACCATATTAGTCAATATTAATTTGAAATAAGATACTTTAGTAGTAACAAACATGTGCGTGAGACTTTAAATTTGGTTAGATTGTGTTTTCATTAAAATCATAGATAACATTGACTGTGGTTTGTATTGTGACACTGAATTAATTTAGGTTAGATAAAACCTAAGATTAAACCCCTAACGCCTTTGACGTTACTATGATGAGAAAAGGCAGAGGGAGATAGGAACTAAACTAACAAATAATGCAAAAATTGAGAAAATTGGAGAAAAGAAGTAGAATGCAGAAGTTTTGAAAAGTGGTCCCTATGTGCTCTAACAGCTTTGAGCTATAGCAATATAACAAGAGAGATATATCAGAATAGCCTGAGTCACTCTAACTATAAACCTTATCAGAAGAACATTTTAAGCCTACTCTAAAAAGTAGATAATTGGGTATTATTTTCAAAAGATGGTATAATTTGTCATGAAACGAGGACAGTTGGACCCAGTATTCAGGAGAGACAGTCAGTAGGAATGTTCAAAAGATTTATTAAAATAAAAACAAAACAAAAGCAGAGCTGTGGCTCGCGGACACTGCAGGCGGGGGGCGGGGCACCGCCCAATCTCAGACACTCTGGTTTAACAGTCCAGACCACGAGTGTCCCCAGTGCTGCAG